CTGTTCTCAGCCTATGTGTGTTATCTCCTCAGTGCTCAGTCCTCAGCCCATGTGTGCTATCTCCCCAGTGCTCAGTTCTCAACCCATGTGTGTTATCTCCTCCGTGCTCTGTTCTCAGCCTATGTGTGTTATCTCCTCAGTGCTCAGTCCTCAGCCCATGTGTGCTATCTCCCCAGTGCTCAGTTCTCAACCCATGTGTGTTATCTCCTCCGTGCTCTGTTCTCAGCCTATGTGTGTTATCTCCTCAGTGCTCAGTCCTCAGCCCATGTGTGCTATCTCCCCAGTGCTCAGTTCTCAACCCATGTGTGTTATCTCCTCCGTGCTCTGTTCTCAGCCTATGTGTGTTATCTCCTCAGTGCTCAGTCCTCAGCCCATGTGTGCTATCTCCCCAGTGCTCAGTTCTCAACCCATGTGTGTTATCTCCTCCGTGCTCTGTTCTCAGCCTATGTGTGTTATCTCCTCAGTGCTCAGTCCTCAGCCCATGTGTGCTATCTCCCCAGTGCTCAGTTCTCAACCCATGTGTGTTATCTCCTCCGTGCTCTGTTCTCAGCCTATGTGTGTTATCTCCTCAGTGCTCAGTCCTCAGCCCATGTGTGCTATCTCCCCAGTGCTCAGTTCTCAACCCATGTGTGTTATCTCCTCCGTGCTCTGTTCTCAGCCTATGTGTGTTATCTCCTCAGTGCTCAGTCCTCAGCCCATGTGTGCTATCTCCCCAGTGCTCAGTTCTCAACCCATGTGTGTTATCTCCTCCGTGCTCTGTTCTCAGCCTATGTGTGTTATCTCCTCAGTGCTCAGTCCTCAGCCCATGTGTGTTATCTCCCCAGTGCTCAGTTCTCAACCTATGTGTGTTATCCCCTCAGTGCTCAGTCCTCAGCCCATGTGTGTTATCTCCTCTGTACTCAGTTCTCAACCCATGTGTGTTTTCTCCCCGGTGCTCAGTCCTCAGCCCATGTGTGTTATCTCCTCCGTACTCAGTTCTCAACCCATGTGTGTTATCTCCTCCGTACTCAGTTCTCAACCCATGTGTGTTATCTCCTCCGTACTCAGTTCTCAACCCATGTGTGTTATCTCCTCCGTACTCAGTTCTCAACCCATGTGTGTTATCTCCTCCGTACTCAGTTCTCAACCCATGTGTGTTATCTCCTCCGTACTCAGTTCTCAACCCATGTGTGTTATCTCCTCCGTACTCAGTTCTCAACCCATGTGTGTTATCTCCTCCGTACTCAGTTCTCAACCCATGTGTGTTATCTCCTCCGTACTCAGTTCTCAACCCATGTGTGTTATCTCCTCCGTACTCAGTTCTCAACCCATGTGTGTTATCTCCTCCGTACTCAGTTCTCAACCCATGTGTGTTATCTCCTCCGTACTCAGTTCTCAACCCATGTGTGTTATCTCCTCCGTACTCAGTTCTCAACCCATGTGTGTTATCTCCTCCGTACTCAGTTCTCAACCCATGTGTGTTATCTCCTCCGTACTCAGTTCTCAACCCATGTGTGTTATCTCCTCCGTACTCAGTTCTCAACCCATGTGTGTTATCTCCTCCGTACTCAGTTCTCAACCCATGTGTGTTATCTCCCCAGTGCTCACTCCTCAGCCCATGTGTGTTATCTCCTCAGTGATCAGTCCTCAGCCCATGTGTATTATCTCCTCAGTGCTCAGTTCTCAACCCATGTGTGTTATCTCCCCAGTGCTCACTCCTCAGCCCATGTGTGTTATCCCCTCAGTGCTCAGTCCTCAGCTCATGTGTGTTGTCTCCTCAGTGCTCAATCTTCAGCCCATGTGTGTTATCTCCTCAGTCCTCAGCCCATGTGTGTTATCTCCTCAGTGCTCAGTCCTCAGCCCATGTGTGTTATCTCCTCAGTACTCAGTTCTCAACCCATGTGTGTTATCTCCTCCGTGCTCAGTTCTCAGCCTATGTGTGTTATCTCCTCAGTGCTCAGTCCTCAGCCCATGTGTGTTATCTCCTCCGTACTCAGTTCTCAACCCATGTGTGTTATCTCCCCGGTGCTCAGTCCTCAGCCCATGTGTGTTATCTCCTCCGTACTCAGTTCTCAACCCATGTGTGTTATCTCCCCGGTGCTCAGTCCTCAGCCCATGTGTGTTATCTCCTCAGTGATCAGTCCTCAGCCCATGTGTGTTATCTCCTCAGTGATCAGTCCTCAGCCCATGTGTGTTATCTCCTCAGTCCTCAGCCCATGTGTGTTATCTCCTCCGTACTCAGTTCTCAACCCATGTGTGTTATCTCCCCGGTGCTCAGTCCTCAGCCCATGTGTGTTATCTCCTCAGTGCTCAGTCCTCAGCCCATGTGTGTTATCTCCTCAGTGCTCAGTCCTCAGCCCATGTGTGTTATCTCCCCAGTGCTCAGTTCTCAACCCATGTGTGTTATCTCCTCAGTGCTTAGTCCTCAGCCCATGTGTGTTATCTCCTCCGTACTCACTCCTCAGCCTATGTGTGTTATCTCCTCAGTGCTCAGTCCTCAGCCCATGTGTGTTATCTCCCCAGTGATCAGTCCTCAGCCCATGTGTGTTATCTCCCCAGTGCTCAATCCTCATTCCATGTGTGTTGTCTCCTCAGTACTCAACCCATGTGTGTTGTCTCCTCAGTGCTCAGTCCTCAGCTCATATGTGTTATCTCCTCAGCTCTTGGTGTAGTTCTCAGCTACTAGTCTTCTTTTTGTGTGTGTTATCCACTCCGTTGCCAGTTGCTTGCACATGTATGATAACCCTTCAGCACCCATCTTTCTTCAGCACATGTGGGACAATCCCTCCTATTTATTCAAACACCACGCCAACTATCAGTCTCATCTCTACTGCCGCTCATCCAAAATCCATCTTAGCTCCATTGCCCCATTTATTTGGTGTGACCTATTAGAGAAGTGGATGCAGCATAAATGGAAGCACACTTGTTACAATGTGATTGGACAATCTCTGCATAATATCCTGTAGAATTTCCAGCAACAATGTATTACAAGGCTCCACCTACGCACCTTCAATATGTACATTGTATATATCCAGTTAGACCGGCCCTCATACTACGTAGTTGTTGGTAAATCTAACACATGCAGAGGTCCTGATTATGTAATGAGCACCACGGTGTACAGAACGCTCAGAAATAAGAGCCCAGGTGAAGGTTTCTCTCATTTTCCAGTAAGGAAGCACTAGAGATAAACATTGGATCTCTCTGCAATATTTGCTTTTTCTTTTGGCTCAGCTGATAAAACCTTCTGATAAGAAGCTTCATTGTGTACACAGATTATAAATATCCTCCGCACGCAGTTCAGTGACATTATACTGGGAAGCCCGACAATGCAGGTGAGTACAACAAGACCCTGTTAGATGGTGACCAAGCTGGATTCACAAGACTGGCTGAACACAGTTCCTGGGGCTGGTGGACAGTTTATGTTTCTGTATTTCATCTATGTATCTGTTTGCTTGGAGTTCACCTCCACCTATAGAAACTGAATTTAAAACAAGCTTTTAGTGCTGTTTGTCTCGTAGTAGTTCAGAGCTTCCCGTCCTTGGTTCAGGGCAGACTTGTATTATCAGAGAGACAATATTATACAGGACTAAACCACCTATTATGTGTTGTATTTGTATTGATCACCTACTGTCAGGGGAGTACGGCTGAACCCTGAGTGGAACCCCTTGGCGGGGGCGGCAAGCAAAAGTCTGAGTTCGAGGTACACAGGGGAAATCCAAGAAGAGCAGTCAGGTCCAATCCGGGGTCGAGGCAGGCAGCTAAGTTCAGAAATGGAAGGGCAGGCCAAAGAGTCGGTAATAGGGAGTCCAATCAAAGGGTCAGGAAGCGAGACGGTTCAAGGCACAAGGAGCTGGGAGATCACACCATAGAGGTAGATAGAATAACTCAGCAATGAGCCAGGCCTCTGACTGGGCTTTTATACCCAGTGGGGAACTAAGACCACCCCCTAGCAACCAGGAAGCTTCTCCTTCCAGGAGCCAATGGCAAGAGAAAGGCAGTGGGTGTGACCTGGGAACCTCCCACACCAAGCATCACACCTGACACCAGTACTGGGCGCTGGCGCACGCAGCCTGTCCACCGCACGCGCGTACCTCCCGGGCATTGCGTGCATGCGCACTCGCAACCCTGGCGCCAGGGGTCCTGCCAGGAAGGAGAACCCGTGCCCTCCGCCACACATGGCAACCCCGAAGAGCGGTAAGACCCCTGCGAACCCTGGACACCTACAACATCCATGCCAGCTCAGTCAATGCATTGTATTTTATTGGAATTACAAATACCATCAGAAACAAAGTAATCATCTATAAACCTATATACAATGTATAACAAAAGCATAAACCAGGTTAGGAAGTGAAGGAAGAAAATATTCTGTGTAACAAAGAGGTGATCCTAGCAGATAAATGTTACTTTGGGTTTGAGTGCCTAGTGGATCCGGTGATGGAAATCCACCCTCCATTATAATGTTTGACCCTCATATGTCCAACCCATCTAATTACCTTATGTCAGCACAACAGCCGTAAGTTAAATGCAATGGAAGCTCAAGGTGTATTAACCTTCAGGATTTGTCCTGGTGACCGTTATCGCAGAAAGTGAAAGAGAATCACAAATTTTGGGTTGTGATCAGAACAGGAGCGGATGGGAAATCTTCCATTGGGGGCACTAGATTTGGTGACCCTGCTGAACTTATGAGTATTTCCCCTGATTTTGGAGGGGTTTCCTCTCACTTTTTTGTTGTGGCAATTCGGACAGGAAGTGAAGGGAAATCTCCCCACTGGGATATAGGTGGGAACAAAGCATGCGGGGCTATAACATTCCATTACTCTACCTAAAATCTATCTATCTATCTCATATTAATATCTATCTATCTATCTATCTATCTATCTATCTATCTATCTATCTATCTATCTATCTATCTATCTATCTATCATTCTCTCTCTCATATCTATGGTAATAATTGTTTCTAGAGTAACACATAAAAGGCCACTAATCATTCTTTCTCCATCACTCAGCCCCAATCTTTGGACCTGGCTTTGCTCCTGGTGCTCTGCTCTGCTTCTGTTATCACATTTAAAGCTCCTCTCAACCAGAATCAGTGTAAGTGAAAATTTCCTCTTTTGTTTCCTCTTTTGACCTGATTTATAAAAAAATGTTTTATATCACTTTCTGTACTGTTGTACAAATCTTCTATAAACGTGTGTTCTGTTATTGTCGTGTATTGTGAGTTTGGTTCATTTGCTCTCGTTTATTGGCTCCTGTTTGTTACAATGGATAGAAATATTGACACAAAATCCAAAATTCAAAACCAGTGTTTACATACCAGTAGTGACAAAAAGTGGAAAATGATTTTCTGTACGTGATGTTGTGCTCCGATATCTCGGAGATGGAAGGAATGATGTGAGCATTTTAAATGTCCAAAGGATGGAATAATTAGCAATAAAAAGGGAACTTTTCTTACAGCCTTGGAATTGCATACAAATTCAGCTCACGTTCAAAAGGACAGCCAAGGGGTTAAAGACTAGTACCATACACCCATGACTATGGTTGGGTACACTTGTGATGTGAGGCCCAGGTCCAAGACGGGGGGGTAAGAAAGAAAAGGCAAAAGAGAAGTTTTCGGCTGCCTTGGCTGAGGTTGGGCCCCCCTGTGAGGTTAGGCCTGCCTCCAAGAAGGGGTCAGCAAAAGGGTTAAAGTGCAGCACCATGCAACCTTGGCAAAGGTCAGGCCAATGTCCTAGAATGGCTCAGAAAATACTTGTACTGCTTTGGCTAAGGTTGGGCCTTTCTGTGAAGTGAGGCCTGGGCCCAAGAAGGGATCAGCAATTGGGTTAAAATGCAGTACTGTGCAACCTTAGCTAAGGTCAGGACCACCTCTGAATTGAGGCCCTGGTCCAAAATGGGGTCATTTAGAGTGAGACCTTGGTCTAAGAAGGTGTCAGCAAAAGGGGTAAAGCGCAGCGCAGTGCTCCCTTGGCTGAAGATACCCCAACATTCCCGTAAGGTTATGCCAAGCTCCTTGAACTCTTCCTATATGGCATGCCTATAACAGAACTCCGGTCCTCTCTACCACAATGTGACGTAATATTTTTAGGTTGTCCACCTTAGGAAAACATAACACTTACTCTATATTTTGTCCTTCCAGTTGATACTTGTCGTCTAGACTACACCTGCTTCCCTCTTGATTGCAAGGATGTGCATGACAGTGGTATGACCTCAGACGGCGTATATTTGATTTACCCCAAAGGGCCGTATTCAGTTCCAGTCCCAGTGTACTGTGATATGACCACGCCAAAGGGACCATGGACAGTAAGTGATGGAAGTAGACAAGCCGCTGAGATTCATAACGCACTTATCCTTTAATAGTCCCCGCTACAATTTTAACCTAGGTTATTATACAAACTAGTAGTCCTATCACTGGAGCCATTTTTTAAACTTTATTTTATTGTTTATCCGATTAATCGAACTTAATAATCGGCTAACTAATCGATTTTGAAAATAATCGTTAGCTGCAGCTCTAATACTTACCCTCAACACTGCTGTCTGGAGATCATCACAATGTTCCCACTTTACAGCTGAAGTTCCTTAAAGATACAGTCCATATCCTAATTATAACTCTGTGCCCATAACTAATCCAGACTAGACAGCAGCAAATACAAGGTTATATCCCTAAACCTATCTACAATCATGTAGCCCCCATCACCTTCTGTGATGTGGCTACTAGACATTTAGTGATAGCCGGGGCTGTAGTCAGCCTGGCTGGAATTATAGTGGCAGTTATCTGGTTAATTCCAGGTGTCTGGCATTGCCTGTACCCCCTGGGTGGAGTGTGACTCTGTCATATTGTAGGACAGCCAATGAGAGGCACTGTAGTGTATGTACAGTACAGCAGCCAATCACTGGGTTCCTCTCAGCCAGTGGTGCATGCTGGGATAGGGTACATATATTGGTGGGATTTGCCATGTGCTCAGACTAGCCGGTACCATGGAATAGGGCTGGGTGCTGTTCAGCCTGCCCCCCCGGCTAGGCCTGAGGCCTGGGGGTGGGCATGGGCTGGTGTGAGGGAAATGTTTTCCTGAGGCCTCCAACATGGAGGATGCCTGTGATGCTGATAGAGGAAGAGAACCGGGACCTGTGCAGGCTCTTGAGGTACCCTGGAACTAAGAGGACTTCAGGAGCATGGTCGGTGTCTTTCCTGTTTGAGGATCTGTATCCCTCCTGTCTATCTGTTACATCAGTTGCCATCCGCTGCCTCCCAAGTGGATCTACACTGATATACCTATAAGGTCTGGGGAGTCTGAAGCTCTTGTCAGTTACCTCTGGAGGCTTAGAACCCCCATACCCTCTCTCCCCAGTGAAGATGTTCAATAAAAAGTTATTCTACATTATACTACTGGAGTGGACATCAGTCTGTGGGCACCAGAAGAAAGGCGGTGGATGCTAATGGTTGGGCAGCTGAAGAAGATACCCCTGGACAGACTAGAGATGAACTGGGTAATCAGCAGCTCTTTTGGGGGTGAGCGCTACAATCACAAAATATATTATAACTCTAAGTCATAGAGCACATTATAAACCCTAAGAATCAAGTGTAATGCTGGTAAAAATTTTAAAAAATTGATTTTTCATAATGTTAGTTGTATTATTATCAGACTTTCTTCCATTTTGCTGCATACATGCGGCATGCTTATGTGCTCAAGTATGCTTGATCAATCTTCGAGTCTCAGACTAACAATCAGAAGTGGGGGGGGGTCACTGTGGTATGCACCGGAATGAAAACCCAATGTTGGATCCCTGTGAGTGTGTGTACTTTTAGGTACTTGTCCATCTTCTGTGCATATCCATAATCTGAGCACTGACTGATCAGTGGTCCGAAATAAATCCAGTAATGTGGTACACCTTCTCCAGGTATTTCAGAAAAGGTTTGATGGAAGTGAGACTTTTTTACGAGGCTGGGAAGACTACAAGTCTGGATTTGGGCGAGCTGACTCAGAATATTGGTTGGGTAATGGTTTAATTTGATACATTTTGGTATACGGTTATTATTGCTTGGTTTCTTCATTTACAAACCTACACGTAGACACCAACACAATAAAAAAAAAAAAAACCTGAAAAAAGGTCAACTCCAACTCGGCCCAGTTTTATTAAGGGACTTTATATTGTATGCCCCCTGGGATGTAACAATACGTGACAGGACCCAATAGCAAACCCATTAAGGGGCCCCTAAATCTCCGCATGTAAGGCAATTTCTCCAGTAATACAGAATACAAGTCCCTTCATATAGGAATCACACAGGTTCCCAAACTACATAAATGTTTATCTTATGCAAATACAGCTGCCAAAAGCTACTCCTGCCAGTGTACCAAACCGGTATGGGCCCTATAACAGTTGTAAGTTGTGCAATGGCTATGGGTTAACCCTTTAATGTTTCTGAGTTGCTGGCAGTTGTAGTAGCTGTACAGAAATGAAAGTCTGTGGGTTAACCATCAATGCTACCACAAGGGAGAAAGACCCAAATCCATGACTACCATATATTGCAAGATATATGCTGCTCACATATAGAATGAGCAAAGTAAGGACCCAAATCCAATCTGGAGGGCCAAAGCCTTGTTTGGGAAATATGCACAAATGATTCTCATCCAAAGCTTTAATTGACTGTTGCAATCATATTCAGTTTGTTTTGGGTTTTAATACATCCCCTTCATCGGGTCTGTAGAGAAGGTGGATCGTTGGTATAAGTCAATGATGGTGCATTGTTGTAGATGTAAATTCACTTTTTTCCTACCACAGGTCTAGAGAACATCTACCACCTTACCTTGCTGAGGTCCTACCGCCTGCGCATTGACCTCACAGATTTTGACAATGACTCTCGTTTCGTGATCTACAATAGTTTTGCCCTCTCACCTCTTGCCATCTCTGGTGAGAGAGACAGCTATAAACTGCATATTGATGGATTTGAAGAGGGAGATCCATCCAGACCAGCTGGTGAGGAACCAAAAAAGCATAATGGATAGATGGCTACCTTTGTTGTTGGATGACAGGATGGATGGATGGTTGAATAGATGGATGGATGATTTTGTGGATGGATAGATAAATGGACAATGGATTTTTAGTTAATTTTGTACATAAATAGACAGAATGGTCGATATATGGGTGTACAGATGACTAGATGGAAGGATGATTTGGTTGGGGGGTGAGTGGGTGATGTATTCATTCCCAATGTGCATATAATCCTTCAATAAAATGTTGCAGCTGGTTAACGGTGAAGAGGTTTACACTCAACAACTATACTTACCTTGCCATATGTCACAGTTTTGTTTTATTCTCCTCTCCATATAATGTTAGAACCTTTGAATAACACTATAGTATATACAAGCAATAGGTTTGTATTCATGTCCATGCCCTGGTGGGAAGATTTTCCTATCAGGAAACTAGTGGACCTAGTAGTGATGTGGCAACTATACCCTTTTCTTTAACCTTTCATCATACATCTAATAAATGAGTAGGTGACGGAATGCCCAAATGAACTAAATGTTGTTTCTAAATTTGTTTTCCATTGAACATTTTGCAGTTATTCTAAATTCTATCCTGTTGTTTAAATTCTAACAGGCAACTCTCTGTGGACCCAAAAAAACATGAGTTTCTCCACCCACGATCATGACAGAGATACATATACAGGAAACTGTGCCAGTATGTACAAGGGAGGATCCTGGTATAGTGATTGCCACTCTGCCAACCTGAATGGACTGTACCTGAGGGGCCTGAGCCAGCAGTATGCCACTGGTATGACCTGGGCTGGATGGCGAGGACACTATTACTCCATGAAGAGCACCCAGATGAAGATAGCTGTCAATTTGTAAATTACAAATCACATCCACATGAAATATTATTAAAGTTGATCTCATGGGGAAACTTTGTATGCATGCTTACAATGGTCCAACTTGGTCACCTAAGTCATAAGAGCCAAGAGCCAATAACTTAAAGGAATGGTTAAGCCATTCCTTTTCTATATCAGGACCATAGCCACAGCAGCCA